GCACATGCTCCTCTAATCTGTATGCATCTGATTATTACTAGTCATAATTGGTTGCACTTGGATCCTTGGCACCTGTGTATGTCTATAAAGTCATTGGGTAGATTTCAATGGTAATGTTTATCACCTCTACTAATTAGCATGATGGAAATTTCCATGCTTCCTCCTCATATGTAATACATTTTTTAAAAAATTTGTTGATTTTTTGTGTGTGTGTGCATATATCACACAGAACATCCCAAACCATCTCATTCAACTATACACCCACTTGTTATGTAGCCTTTAGCTATGCATATGGACTCTTAAAAACTTATATTGGTTCCTTTAATCTTTGGATATACTTTCCTTTTGGGTGTTCAAGGACATACATTTGACCCAGATAAACCAATGTATTTTTACTCTTAAGGTCGTTTGAGGATCTGTTCCTTAGGGATCACATGGGCTTGGGAGGAGTCCCTGGCTCTTTTCTTTTACCAGTTCCATCTACGTGAAGATAAGTCAAAGGTCCTGCTTGATCGTGGATGGCTTCATTGGAAGTATGGAGGAAATGTTTCCTCTGTGTGGACCCTCTTCTTTGTTTACTGGACACTGTTTCATGTCCAACTTGTGGGGTCTCCTCGGCCTCCTTGATCAAGAGGACATGCGAACCACTACAATTACATGAGAATTTGAGAGATGCTCATAGACCCTGGAACTAGTCAACCTAGGAGGGCAAGGAGCAAAAACTGTCCTTTATGTCCCTCTGACCAAATTATTATAGGCCTCAAAGTATGTCTGTTAAACACCAAGAAGGTTAATTCCACCAGTCTTGTACTTTTAATTACTGTGTGTCCTGTAGATAAATCTTGGGCAAAGAACAATTGTTCTCAGATAAACCTTACCTAGACATATGTTTCTTGAACTGCTATATATAATTTGTCAGTAGGTTTTAGTAGTAATATGGTTCCCTCTGGTTTTCAAAACTACTAGGTGTTATTTATCTCTCACATTGTCTCACCCCTCCACCATAGTTTTCCTACTTAAGGTGCCCCCATTTCCCCCTTTTCTCCCTTAATAATACCTCTTTCATACAGTCCTACTCCTTTCCTGAGCTCCTTCTTTCCCCTAATCTCCTAGGTTCCTTGTGTATCCTTCCCTCGACCCTCCATTAAACTAGCCCAATTTTTATCCATATCTCCCTTATTAAGGCCTCTTTCCTATTGTTCTTCTCTTTCAGGTTCTTTATTTTCCTTTACCTCCCTGTTTCCTTTCCATTATCCTGGTTCCTGTAGTTAAGTCTGGATACATACTCACTTAATAGGGTTTGGTTCTAGGATCCACATATGAGGGAGAGCATAAGTCTATTTTTTTT